TATGCCTATTATTTAGCAGGTACTACTCTTTATTTACTTCTATTTTAGCCTTACAACTGAATTTTAGGTAGATGATATTCCCAATTTACAAGATGAGAACACTGAAACCCTGACAATTCTTTTTTTTTTTTGAGATGGAGTTTCGCTCTTGTTACCCAGGCTGGAGTGCAATGGCGTGATCTCGGCTCACCGCAACCTCCGCCTCCTGGGTTCAGGCAGTTCTCCTGCCTCAGCCTCCCGAGTAGCTGGGATTACAGGTATGCGCCACCGTGCCCAGCTAAGTTTTTTGTATTTTTAGTAGAGACGGGGTTTCACCATGTTGACCAGGATGGTCTCAACCTCTTTACCTCGTGATCCACCCGCCTCGGCCTCCCAAAGTGCTGGGATTACAGGCGTGAGCCACCACGCCCGGCCCTGAAACCCTGACAATTCTTTCATGATGTCACCTTAAGTAACTGACTAATGCTTTCAGTTACTAAATGGAAGGAGAAAAGAGTAAGAGGGTGGAAAAAAAAGAACTCTCCAGTGATTGCCCCCCACTGCAGAAACATCAATTTGAACTATCCACACATAAAAATACCTTCACAAGAGCTGATGAAACCAGATGACAGATTATAGTACCTGACTATAGCGCAATAAGATGCACTGAAAAAGGTAGGAAGGAGTTTTATATTACCTGCATTACCCCTTTTCCAACTCCAGGCAGCACAGCATGGAGAGTGACACTATCCACTGGGGGAAACAGAGGTAAGTAAGCACAGAACTTTGTCTGGGACCCCAATGCCATGCCTACCACAATAAAACCCAGCAATAGGTAGAGCCCCGTGGCCCCTGACTCTAGGCCAGTATGCATGGACTGAATCCTAGACCCCCCCTGGTGCCACATGGGAACCAGTATTCCCTGTGAAATGGACTCAAGTTGTGGACTGCATCACCACAGGCCAACTACAATGCACTTGGCCTCCAAATAACCCACATTAACGGCTGGTCTCATCAATTGCCAGCTTCAAGGACACTCCAGTGACAGGATAGCCTCAGTGGCCATGGGTTTCAGCTGTGCCCCAGCACTGTGCCAAGCCATGGAAGTCCTGTGCATAGGGCACCCTATAGTGCTACCATTGTCAAGGGCTTAGAGATGACACCAGATGAACAGCCCAGAATCTCGGGATAGGCTTACTGTTGAAGGACATTCCCAGACAAAGCCAGACTGGAAAGACTGAAGTAAGTATCTACTTCTTTAATGTGCAGGCATTGAATGACCACAAGGACAAAGAGCAATCTGGGAAACATGATGTCATCAAGACAAAATAAGGAGCCAATAACTGGCCCAAAAGAGATGAAATACAGGAATAGTCTAATAAAGTATTCAAAATAGCTGTTTTAAGGAAGCTGAAGAAACTTAAAAAAAAAATACACACACACACACACATATATATGGAGAAAGAGAGAGAGAGAGAGAGAGAGAGAGAGAGAGAAAGCCATTCAATGAAATGAGGAAAAGTGACTAGAATAAATTTAATTAAAAAATTAAAATAATTTTTAAAAAATCAAATAGAAATCTTGGAGCTAGAAAACACAATGAATAAAATGAACTGTAATACAGAGCATCAACAGAAGAACTGATGAAACAGAAGAAAGAATCTACAAAGCTACAGTAACTGAAACAGCATCATAGTGGCATTAAAACAGACACACAGATCAATGGAACAGAATAGAACCTAGAAATAAATCCATCCATTTAACAGCCAACTGATTTTTGAAAATATGCCAAGAACACACATAGGAAAAGGATAATCTCTTCAATAAATGGTATTGAGAAAACTGGACTTACAAATGCAGAAACATGAAAGTAAATCCTCTCTCTCACCATATTAAAAAAATCAACTCAAAATGGATTAAAGATTTAAATATAAAACCTGAAACTAAAAAACTAGTAGAAAAATACAAGGGAGAAGCCCCATGACATTAATCTGGGCAATGGCTTTTTGGATATGACCTCAAAAGCACAGGCAACAAAAGCAAACATAGACTAATGGGATTACATTAACCTCAAAAGCTTCTGCATAGTAAAGGATATAAGCATCAGAGTGAAGAGGCAACATACAGAATAGGGGAAAATATTTGCAAACCATATATATTTGGTTAATACCCAAACTATATAAGGAACTCAAACAACTGAAGAGCAGGAAAATAAATAGCCCTATTAAAAAATGGGCAAAATACTTGCAGACATTTCTCAAAATAAGAATTACATATGGCCAAAATAGGTATACAAAAAAATGTTCAGTGCCCGGGCGCGGTGGCTCAAGCCTATAATCCCAGCACTTTGGGAGGCCGAGGCGGGTGGATCACGAGGTCAAGAGATCGAGACCATCCTGGTCAACATGGTGAAACCCCGTCTCTACTAAAGATACAAAAAATTAGCTGGGCATGGTGGCGCGTACCTGTAATCCCAGCTACTCGGGAGACTGAGGCAGGAGAACTGCCTGAACCCAGGAGGGGGAGGTTGCGGTAAGCCAAGATCGCGCCATTGCACTCCAGCCTGGGTAACAAGAGCGAAACTCCGTCTCAAAAAAAAAAAATGTTCAGTATCAATAATCATCAAGGAAATATAAATCAAAACCACAGTGAGACACACCTGTTATAACGGCTATTATCTCTATGACAAAAGATAGTGTTAGAGGGGATGTGGAGAAAAGGGTGCTCTTGCACATTGTTGGTGAGAATGTAAATTAGAACAGTCATATGGAAAACAGTATAGAGATTCTTCAAAAAATTAAAAATAGAACTACCACATGATCCAGCAATCCTACTACTGGGCTTATATCAAAACAATATGAAATCAGTGTGTCAAAGAGATATCTGCACTCCCATGTTCACTGCAGCATTATTCACAAGATATGGAATCAATTTAAGCGTGCATCAGTGGATGAATGAATAAACAATATGTAGTGTGTATATATATATATATATATATATATACAATTCAGCCATAAAAAAGAAAATCCTGTGATTTGCAACAACATGGATGAACCTGGAGGACATGATGTTAAGTGAAATCAGCTAGGCAGAGAAGATGGATACTCCATGATTTCGCTCATATGTGGAATCTGAAAAAGTTGATCTCTTAGAAGTAGAGTAGAATGGTGGTTACCAGAGGCTGGGGTGGTTAGCGGAGAGGGGAGTTTGGGGAGATGTTGGTTAAAGGATTCATAATTACAGGTAGATAGGAGGAAGAGATCTATTGTTCAGCATGGTGATACAGTTGATTATGATATACTGTGTTACTGAAAAATGCAAAAAGAGTAGATGTTAAGTATTCTTATTGCAAAAATAACTATGAGATAATACATTTGTTAATTAGCTAGATTTAATCATTCTGCAATGTATATATTCTATCATGCTGTACATGAAAAATATGTACCATTTCATCTGTCAACTTTAAAATGAAAAAAAGAAGTTACTAAATGGCAGAACTGGTTCTGTCTGTTTATTCTGGTATCAATGTCCCAAATTCCTATAAGTATTCTATGTAGGTCAGTTGCTGGGATACCCTAGTAATCTATATAAGAGTTACTTTTACTTTGATCCACTGTAAAAGGTATTATCCATTTTCGACACACTATTTTATATATGGCCTTACTAGAAAAAATCCAAAGGGCATGAGATTCACCTTTAAGAAGGAAAGAAAAATGGAATAGAACCACATGAACAATATATATATATACATTCAGTACCATTTATATTATTCACATTAAATTTGACACACATGCCCAGCTACTTTTCCAGAGGGATCCTGTCACTTTTCCACTCACAAGCCTTTAGTGGCTTTCCATCTCACCCAGAGAAAACCCTGAGCCATTACAAAGGCCTGCAGGGCCTGTTTGCTCTGGTACCCTAGTTCCTGTTATTCTCTTCATATTCCAACACAAGAGCCTCTTAGCTCTTCCTTGCATATCTTTAGTAAGTTCTTGCCTCACGGTCTTTGTACTTTATTTCTTTCTCTGACAAGAATGCTGTCCCCAGAAAACAACTGATGAGCCACTTCCCCAGAGTGTCAGCTCAGTAAAGCCTACTCTGACTACCTTATGTGATAGTCCATTAATTAATGCCTTTCATCCTTTTGCTGAAATGTAAGCTCCATGAAGACAGGACATTTCCATGTTTTGCCCACTGCTGTCTAATACTGCCTGCCAAATTAAAGGCTAATTACTATTAGCACAGTATTGCTCAATAAATATTACCTATTATTATTATCACCAAATTATAAGCTTTTGGTAGTTTATTCTGAAAATTAATAAACCATAGGCATACCATCAAAACAAGTACTAGAAATTAATTGCCACTTAAGAATGTACTTTCCAAATATGTTTATTTCAGTAGTATTAAATAAAGTACTACATGTTCTGGTACTATAAAATTCATTGTGAATTTTGTTTACAAGTCATATATAGTACAGGTTAAGTATCTCCACCCAAAATGATTGGGACTAGAAGTATTTTGGATTTTGGAATATTTGCATTACTGGCTGAACATCCCTAATCTGAATATTCAGAATCTAAACTGCTCCAATGAGCATTTCCTTTGAGTGTCATGCTAGCACTCAGAAAGTTTCAGATTTTGGAACACTTCATATTTCAGATGTTCAGATTAGGGATACTTAACCTATATAAAATTTGATTACTTAGCTTCATATGTTTAATTTATATCAGTAGTTCTCAGTCTTTTATTCTTCTCTACTATACTTTGCACTCCCATTAGGAACAGAGTGGCTCAGTGGAACAGTGATTTTCTATTAAGTAAAGTGAATGTGGTAGGTGGTGGGTAGGGGTGGGTTGTCTTGAGTTGGTAATTACTAGTTCACATAGTAGAAATACATTTTTAAAAAGAGCTGTGATTCAAAGGGAAAAAATGAGCTAAATATACAGAAAAACATCAAGTGTATGTTACAGATCTATTTCTTTAATTTATACCCAAAAATATATTAAAAAATCTCTTACAAGTGTGTTTTCTCCATTGAAACTATTCCAGAGTCTCATTCGATTATCTGTACCAACAGTGAGAAGGTGAAGCCCATCACTTGTAAAACATAAGCCATTAACTTTCCCATTATGAGCAGTGTTTGCTGCAATGAAAAATATAGTTCAGTTTATCTATTCTTGTATTCAGAACATATTTAATGTTTGATGATATAATTATTTAAACATATTAAAGGACAACAACTTGAGTTACTTAAAAAATGTAAGTGGCTTAAACTTAAAATTAACGAACCCTTCAGATTATTTGAATAGGATAAGCAATATAAATCAGAAGCATAAAAATAGAAGAAAACAAAAAAGGGAAAAAAATTCTACCAGACATACTTTTTTTTTTCCAGCGAGGAAGTTGTGCCATCAAATTCAATTAAGTGTGTAGCTTAACACTAAAATTTAAAATGAAATACCTTTCATCTCTCTTATATAATATTTTTATTGCTGACCTAAAAATCATTCAATGGACTATTAAAATTAGTAATTCTGGTGTTTTCCATTAAAAAAAAAAACCTTAAAAGGAAAAGGATGACTGCTGTAGTCTCAAAATATGTATCACTTTCAAAATTAACAAGTTTGAGAAAGCATAATTCTAAAATAAGCTAATTAATTTAAAAACATACAAAACATGTTTTATATAGTTTTTAAAAACACTATATACATTTTAATATATTTCATATAAAACTATATAAAACCTATGACATTTTATGTAGTTTTTAAAAAACTATATAAAACAACCATAGGTTTTATATAGTTCATTCTAATACATATCTGGTCCAAAATTAATTCTAAATCAAAATTTCTACACAGGAATTAAATTCTACTGTAAAAATGCAATTTAGGTACTTTGTCACATGGATTACAGCTGACTCACATTTAACACAATTTTATCTTGATACAAGGGCCACAAAACGTTACTATTTCTGTAATTTATTGTGATTGTTTAAGTGGCATTGAATTTGTATAGTTGGCCTCAATGAAGCAAAAACAAAATAAGTAAAGCAAGTTAATTCAGAAAAGTTTCTACTTTTGAAAATTTAGGGCCAAATGAAAGTGCCATTTTTATTTATATATTAAAGAAAGAGAATGATAATTTAGTTTACATAAACTAAGAAAGTGATATATGATGAATGCCTTTTAAAAAATCATAAGGTTTGCAATTTGTCAATATGCATTTATTATTTGGCTTCAATTAAAAATTTTCAATGTAAAAAAACTATCATTGTTGTATTTCTTTATTAATGCATTCTTCCTTACCTGATTCGACAGCTTGTGACTTTTCTCCATTATGCTGATCAAGAGTAATTAAACATCCTGATGCTCTTCTCACATCCCATAATTTTACTCTACTGTCAGCACTGAGAAGAATAAATATTACATTGACAAAGGTCTCATTACATAGGTGCAAATGTATATATACACTAGGGTTGTTGAACTTTCCCTTTTCCGCAGCTATTCAATAGTTAACAGTAATTCAAATAAGTGAGTAAATAGCAAGAAAAAAAAGTAGCCTTTCTTTTTCAGATAAGAAGAATAAAGTTCTGCTGCTTTTTATGTTGTTTTAAATTATATCAGCATCTTTTCTCACAAGGACCAGATAGGCCTGTAGCTTGTTCCTAGTAAGCTCCTTACCACACCTTTTCTACTGCTTGTTATCCAAATGCTGTCAAAACAAGCAATTAACTAATTTCACTTTGCTCAAAAATCCATTTGGTATGATTTGGTGTTTTCTTCCTTTTTATATAAAAAATGGTAAGAGTAAGGTGAATAACGAGGACAATGCATTTCCATTTGGTTTCCTGTACTCAAAGCAATCTTTACCAGATACATGAAAACTCTATTTAATGTCTCCTAGAAATTAGACTCTTACTTCCATTTTTTTTCAAGAAAGCAAAAAGAAGAAAGCCAAATCTATGATCAGACATCGATTTCAGTTTCTAGGCTATTCCTAAAGAAAAATGCCTGGCAATCCAATGTGATCCTAATCAGTTCATCTGATGCTATCGTGTCCTCAAAAGGACCTCAACAATATCGTAACCCAGGGGGGCTTATCCATGCTATTTTAATAAGAGAGAGTATTACTTTACATTTTTATAAGCCTATTTTTTATTTATAAATTTTTTGAAAATATACACACAGGGTTTATTGGTTTTTAAAAATCTTGATTCTTTTCACAGATGACCATCAAACCTAGCCTACTAGAATAGTCAGAAAAAAGCTAGCATTTCCCATTCTTAAGTTGGTTTTCTTTCTTTCCAGCTGAGGGAAATGAAATCTGTATGAGGATTTAAGTGTCTTCTGAAACAGATTAGATTTGAACATATCCAAGTTTTAACACTGATTATTAGGTCCATTCCGGTACTGATTCAAATTCCTGGGGCATTCTTATAATTGAAATCTTCTTAGCTCTCCTCTGTTCTCAGGAAAACCAAGTGAAGCATAAAAAATGTAAAATCCACCCAAGCATAACCAGCACCTAACTCCTAACCTTCATACCTCTTCAGTCAGTCTTATGGCTACAATTCTAGACCTTGCTGCACTTTAGAAATCGTAAATTTTAACATTATATTTTGTTAATTATTAAGAGAAGCTTCTTTAGGGCCTAAACTGTGACAGGGAAAGAGGGCTGGCAACTCAAAAACAATCCAGACACAGATCTTTATAAAACTAATATAAATAGCTTTTGTAATAATTCTTCTACTTAAAACTTTATGAAAATATATCAAAATATTTGATTACTAATTCTTTTCCCTTCAGTTCTAAAATTTTCTTAGTCTAACTCTCATACTTCATTAGGTCCTTCATCCCTCCTACAAGCCTTTTTGTGATTTTATTTTTTTCCTTTTTCCCACGACTTCTACAATTTTCAGGCACTGAGGTACATTCCTGTAGACACTGAAAATTATTAAGTCTGTTTCATTTAATGTTTTAATTGCTGTGGCTTGATATATACCTGTAATCTACATCTTCAACTGAGAACACCTGCCCAGTATTTCTATGCACCCTTAATCAGCTCCCTCTCTCTTTCAATGTTATTCCAGATCAATACTATCTTTCCTCAAAATTGCATCCTCATTCCTGTATTTTCAAGAGATGACATCAAGTCCTAGTCCACTAAAAACCAAGAGAAGCCTTTCAGTCTGAACTTCTTCAGCATCTCTGCCAAAGCTACCAACTTAATTGTATTCACTTCCACCTTTTCCTCTTCCATTTAGTCTCACAGTGCTCTTCATGTGCCAAACCAGGTGTTCCCTCCACCCTTATCTGGATCCTTGATACCACCCACTTCTGTGTATTCAAGGTCCTGATACACCACTTGTTCTCTCCATTTCTTATCTTTACCTGTTTCTTTTTACTGGTACTCTTCCCCCAGCATATAAATATGCAATACTCTTATCTCCAGCAAACAAATAAACCTCCCCACATCTTTTGATCCTCTCAGATTAAGTGATGCTGCTTTCTTTTCCTATATTACACCTACCAAAGATGTGCCTCTATTAAAGCATTTTTCAGGATGCCCTGTGATCACTGATTTTTGACTGTATGTCCCATTAGATCATTAGATTGTTGGCTTTTTGAAGCCTTGGTTTACCTCTGTGTCCCTAGTACAATGCTTGGCATGTGGGAGGAAGTCATTAAATATTAGAAAATAGAATTAGTGAATGTGTGGATATGTTATATCATATTCAAAATAATTCTAGGCTAAAGATAATGAATAAAAATTGCTCTATTTAAAAATTAGCACAGTGTTATATTTGTGTGTGTAAGAATGACACAACAGAGTTTCTCTGTGTTCTAAGGTGAAACACCTTGAAAATGGATAGGATTAGAATTAGAATGCAAAGGCAGATTTATTATGATGACATGAATTAAAATCTCTAACTCAACACTTCAATTTTAGAGGAGCTAATTAATAATTAAATATGCTAAAATACATACATTACATAAATATAGTCTTTTCTAAATGCTTATTATTAATTACTAATATGCACTTCAAAGCAAATAAATTAAATTTTACCTTGCAGTTGCCAAGATATAGTCATAACGTGGAGACCAGGAAACTGCCAGTATTTCTTGTCTATGACCTGCAAATACAACTGTATGAAAAGTCGTACAAGATATTTGAAAAATCCTAAGATAGAGTGCCAATAATTTCACCTGATTCTGAAGAAAGTGAGGCTAAATATTCAATGTGAATAGATATGATCATTTCTCACACTTCTAATAATCTATATTTCAATGCTAATCTGAAGTTTACAGGGGTATTTCTAACACATGGCATTTTATTATAAAATAACTGGTTTTGCTTTGGAAAAAATAGAGGTAAGTAAGCCTTTCTTTTTAAACACAGTTGTTAGCTTATGTCAGTCAATCCATATAACTGAAGCTCAATTAGTGTAATAAAACATGAAAGATAAACATTTTAAAGGATAAAAATGTCTTCCAATTTCTCAGAAAGTTGTAATAGAAAATTACTTTAATTCATGATTGTAAAAAAGCTTTTATATAAAATGTGTTTTTCTAGAAAGCACAGGTAATAAGTTCAAAGGGTGATTTCAACATTTTAATTCACTTTTACCTAACTGAACTATTCATATCAGACAGTTTCATCTGCCCAGCTTATATAAATAGAAATTCATAATAATGTCAAAAATGCTACCCATCTCATCAACTTTTCTTAATATATTTGTTATGTGTTTCTGAGAGAAGTAAAAATATACAAATCATATTCTATCTTTTTATTGTTTAGAATCAGACAATCTAATACTGATAAAAAAGGAGCAAGGATAATTTAAATTAATATAACTTTACCACAGAATTACTTCGATATATTTTTCTAGAATATTCTTACTGAGAAAAAATGCACCTAAATATTAAGAACAATGTTTACTCATGAGCCAGAATATTACATAATACACATGAGACAAATATACTGGTACTTTTTCTCCACCATATAAATATGCAATACTCTTCTCTCCAGCAAACAAATAAACCTCCCCACATCTTTTGATCCTCTCAGAGTTAAGTGATCCTGCTTTCTTTTCCAGTTGCATTAGTTTTTTTAAATGTAGAAATAACACCAGGTTTTGAGTTAGACCTATTTTTCATATCCTTTGAGCTTCCCCAATGACCATTGTTCATATAAATGTCTTTTCAATAGTTCAGTTTTATAAGAATAATGCACAGAAGGATCTTTATTTCCCTGCTGACTTTTAACAACTAGCACAAAATACATCAGTCATGTCACTCACAAAGAATACATTGTTAGTAATGTTTCTTTTTATTAAATGCTTTACTCAAAGTAGTTGCTGTTTGAAATAAAATAAAAATACCCTGTAGAATGTGAGAACAGGATCCAGACTTCAAGTCACAAAGTTGTACTTTGGGTCCTCTAGTACCAACTGTAAAAACAATAACAGTTTAAGATAGTTTTATCATAAGTCATCATTAAAAGGAAACAAGACATTATCATTACTAATCATGACATTTTCATGTATCTATGTAGAAATATAAAGATATATGCCAAAAAGACATTGCAAGTCATTTTTAACGTTTATATTTAGAAAAGTTATTTTAACTACAGTTATATTTTACTAGTAAGAGACCTCTATTATTACATTTATTTTTAATTCTGAAATAATTATAGATTTGCAAGAGGATGCAAAGCTAGTATAAAGAGGACTGTGTACCTTTCGCTAGGTTTCCCCATGATTATGTGAGAAGTAACTAATATCAAATCAATATCAAACCTAGGAAATTTATATTGGTAAATGCGTGTAAATGTAGGTATGTATAGTTCTATTTCATTTTATCAAATCAAATCATTGTATTTTAATAGCTTAGTTTTTCCGAGTTAATGATATACTTCCCATCACTAGTAACAGTTTCACAGAAACTCTGGGCACAGACTCAAAGGAGCTCAAAGACAACTTAGTTCCTAGCTCTTCTTTATGGATAAAACAGCTGACTGATGTCCAGAAGTAGAGACCTACATGGTGCCACAGAAATAATGAATCACAGGGCCCAGATACCTGATACTAGAAAATAATTTTTTCTTCCTTATATATGAAGATGTTTGTTGCAGGTGCTTTTATATAAATTGATGCTTAATTTGAAACACAACCTTAGAGAAGGAAATAATTACCTTGTTTTATTGTGTCAAATTGGGAAAGTTGCCAAATTTTATTCATGTAAAATCTCTGAAACTTTGGTGGTTTAAAAGGAACTCTTTAGAGGACAAAAATATGCTCTTAATCTCTGAATCCTGGCCACTAGATAGTGCTTAACTTGCACAATATCTGTTGAATATAGATAGTACATATATTAAAAAAACGAATCGTGATATTCCTCAGGTTTAAAATGTCTACATCAAAACTAACTAGATATAAAAAGGGAGAAAGTTTTCAATATGCCAAAAGACAAATGAATACACTTACAAACCTGCTACCAAACAGTGCTTGGTGGAGACTGGAGACATATGATGACTGTAAACTGTTTCCTCAAAATTAAATACATCTGCAGTCTGGTAATCAAAAGACATTTAAAAAGTGTAAGTTTTAATTATAAAAACAAAGCAATAAATTTGCTATTTACTTTTCCCTAAATTTTTAGCAAGTTTTAAATTGAGTGTTAGCAATTCAACTTAAACATAGGAATGTAATACCTAAAAAAACCTTGATAATTTGAAATCCTGTTATTTACAACATTATTCTCCATTCTATGAGAAAAAAAAAATAGGTTTTCCCAGTAAATCCCAGAAACTAAGAAAATACAAGTATGTGACTCACTATATTCCTCTCCACCCACCCTGGTAGGGAGGGGCTCAGTACCTACACAGATGATGTAGCCAGCACTGCCTCTCTCTCAGTTCCATACAACCTGAGCTACCACACCCAGGACACTGTCACTACCTAGAATTGCCCCTACTTTGAAATCATACATTTCAATTATCTATGATCACAATCTTCTATCATTTTCAGCTTCCCCGCCACCTGCTAACTACTCTCGAGAAACCTGAATAAACTCTGGAACTTCTATCAGTTCCTTTCATCTACTTCTTTTCCTCTCTAGGTTGGATTCCAAGGTCCAATACCAATACTAAGGTCAACTGCTAATATCTTCAATTCCTTTGCTAATATCCTTCCATTTATCAAGACTTCTACCCTGGGTGATCCCAAATGTCTGCCTTCTCCATATTTATATCTGGATTGATCTACACCAGGAGTTGGCAAACTTTCTGTAAAGAGTCAGATGGTAAATATTTTAGGCTTTCAGGACCAACTACTCATCTCTGTCAGTGCAGTGTTAAAGCAGTCATGGACAACAAATGAACATGTTGGAACTGCTCGCCAGGTTCTTCCTGCCTGCTGCACAAACAAAATCAATTCGCAAAGACAATGGCATTCCAGTAGAGAATTTAATTGATTAAGGCTTGCCATGCCAAGTGGGAGATGGGATTTATTAATATTACTCTAATCAATCTCCTTGAAGTCTTGTAGGTTAGGGGTTTTCCAAAGGTAGTTTAGGGGAAGGAGTGGGAGTAGTTAGGCAATGAATGGGTGCTTGCTGTTGATTGGTTGGGGGTGCAATCAGAAGGGTGTGGAATGGAGAATGGTCCTCCTGTGCACTCAGCCACTTCTGGGTTGGGCCACAGGAGCAGTTGGCATGTCCAGGTGGAGCTGCTGATGTCAGACATGAAAAAAATCCTGGAAAGATATCTCAAAAGGCCAGTTTTAGGTTCTACAGTTGTGATGTTATCTCAGGAGTAATTGGGGAAGTTATATATCTTGTGACCTCCAGAATAATGGCTGGCAATCATTTATGTCTGTTTGTCTCTCTCTCTCTCTCTCTCTCTATTTATTTTTGAGACCAGGTTATGAGACTGGCTATTTTTGCAATTTTGGTAAAGACGGGGTTTTGCCATGTTGGCCAGGTTGGTCTTCAACTCCTGGGCTCAAGCAATCCACCCTCCTTAGCCTCCCAAAGTGTTGAGATTACAGGTGTGAGCCGCTGGGTCTACATCTACACCTTAGCAGAATTCAGGCTCCTCTCCTCCTCTAAGTCTGGTGGACTCTCATTAGCTTTACAAAGGTGGTTTAGTTTCAGGGAAGGACTATTATCATTTAAACTATAAAATGGCCGGGGGCAGTGGCTCACACCTGTAATCCCAGTACTTTGAGAGGCTGAGGCAAAAGGATCACTTAAGGTCAGGAGTTTGAGACCAGCCTGGCCAACATGGTGAAACTCCATCTCTATTAAAAATACAAAAATTAGCGTGGTGGTAGGCGTCTGTAATCCCAGCTATACAGGAGGCTGAGGCAGGAGAATCGCTTGAATCCAGGAGGTGGAGGTTGCAGTGAGCTGAGATCACAGCACTGCACTACAGCCTGGGCAACAGAGTGAAACTCTGTCCCAAAAATAAATAAATAAAATTACAAAATAGAGTATTAACTGTCTCCCAAAGTTGGCTTGGCCAAAGTCGAGGAATAATTCAGGCAGTTGAGGGCAAAAGGCAAGAGGGAGTGTTGGCTAGATCAGATCTCCCCTACTGCCACAATTTTGTCACTGATAAATTTTTGCAAAGGCAGTTTCAATATTTGTAGCCAAAACCCACTTAATTTACAAAAAAAGGCCATAAGCCAGACTTGCCCATGGGCCCAGACTTGGCCAATTCCTTGCTCTACCCAGGTAAAAAAAAATCTTATAATAGGGCAGTGTCACTATAAAAGATTATTCATTTCCTCTGAATTTCAGTAATGACTGCTAGTTCCACTATATTTCTCTGCAGTATTCCGCAACTATTTCAAATCTTCTCCACAAACATCCCCACTCAGTCATAATGGGGATCTGATGTTTCATTTCAAGGAGAAAATAGGAGGCACTCAATCAGAATTCCGTTAATGGCTTACCAACAAACCTACAAACACAATTGCTTCCACTTATCCTTTCTCCTTCTTCACTCCTGTTATCATAAAATCATGATTCCCAACCTTTTTTTTTTTTTTTTTTTTTTTTTAAGATGGAGTCTTTCTTGCTGTTGCCCAGGCTGGAGTGGAGTGGTGTGATCTTGACTCACTGCAACTTTTGCCTCCTGGGTTCAAGCGATTCTCTTGCCTCAACCTCCTGAGTAGCTGGGACTACAGGTGCCCACCACTATGCCTAGCTAATTTTTGTATTTTTAGTAGAGATGGGTTTTCACCATATTGGCCAGGCTGGTCTCGAGTTTCCTCCCCATTTTAAATATTAATTCTCCTACTTGTGTTTAGATCCCCTTCAGCACTGTTAGAGATCTCATCCTATAGATTATCTTCTTGGTGTCTATAACCTCTGTCCCCACTGGCTCATTCCCAACAGCACTAAAAGTTCAAGTCTTTTTCATCTTACCATCCCCTCACTAAGGCAAATAAATAAATAAATAAAAAGCCTTTCACCCTACATTCTCCCTAACCTTTCCTCCTCCTCAAATCCAAACCTTGGCTATCACTAATTCCTTATTTCCCATATATTTCTTAACCAATTGCAATCTTATTTTTATTTCACTACTTTAATACACACTACTCGTCCAATATTACCAATAACCTCCTCATCCGATTTAACATGTTAGTAGCATTCAACACAGCCGATTACTCCCATCTTCTTTAAAGCAGTCTCTTTTACTGGCTTCCATTGTATCATATATTCCTGATTTTCCTCTTTCTCTCCTTGGCTCCATCTTTTCATCACTTTTAGCAGGCTTTGGTTTCCTTTTTCTATCCTATTTATCTTTGTCTCCCTCAGGGTTTTGTTCTATGCATTCTCTTCAACTGCCAGTTGCATGTTATGGGTTAAGTATCTCTTATCCAAAGTAACTGGGACCAGAAATGTTTCAGCTTTCAGATTTTTTTTTTTTTTATGAAATGTTTGCATTATACTTATTGGATAAGTATTCCAAATCTACAACTCAAAAAATTTCAAATTTTGAACTTTTGGATTAGGGATACTCGACATGTAGTGAAGCACTAATCTGTATATTCAGTGTAGACCTCACTCCTGAATTCCGGATATGTATAGCTCAATTCCTGGATTATCTCCATTTGGATTTCCTGTAAATCCCTCAAACTAGACAAATCGAAAATTGAACTCATCACTCCCACCCTTCCCTATCTTAGTAAATAACAATGTAATTCACTGAATTACCAGGCTAGAGAACTTGGGGGTTATTCCTATATAGATTTTTTTTTAATAATGGCTTTTTCAAGATAAAATTCATATATTGTACAGCTTGGAACCCATATAAAGTGTCACTGGTGATGTTGGAAGTACTCCCAAGAAGCAGAGAAATATCGTGATATTATAAGAAGAAGCTGAATTGCTTGACATGTACCATAGATTAAGATCTGCAGCTGTGGTTGCTTACCATTTCAAGATAAATGAATACAGAATAAGAAAAAAGAAATTTTTTGTGAAATTTCTGTGAAAAAAGAAAATTTGTGATGCTGTCACTGCAGCTATGCCAGCAGTGTGAAAACCTTGTATGTTTTGTGAAATACCTTTGACCTCTTATTGAAAATCCAGCTTTTATGTGGGTGCAGGATTGTTAAAAGAAAGGTATCTATATATAGACTCTAATATGATTTTTTTTTAAAAGAGAAGTCATTACAGTCATTATATGACAATGTAAAGCAAAAGGAAGGTGAAGGATCTAACGCTGGAGAACTTAATGCCAGAAAAGGATGGTTTGATAATTTTGGAAACAGGTTTGGCTTTAAAAAGGTCAAGGTGGCCAGGCGCGGTGGCTCACGCCTGTAATCCCAGCACTTCGGGAGGGCAAGGCGGGTGGATCACGAGGTCAAGGGATCGAGACCATCCTGGTTAACATGGTGAAACCCCGTCTCTACTAAAAATACAAAAAATTAGCTGGGCATGGTGGTGCGTGCCTGTAATCCCAGCTACTTGTGAGGCTGAGGCAGGAGAATTGCCTGAACCCAGGAGGCGGAGGTTGCGGTGAGCCGAGATCGCGCCTGGGTAACAAGAGCGAAACTCTGTCTCAAAAAAAAAAAGTCATGGTAACAGGATAAGAAGCTTCTGCCCACCAAGAGGCAGCAGATGAGTTTCCAGATGCCATTAAGAAAATCACTGAGGACAAAGGATATCTGCCTGAACAGGTTTTAAATGCAGACAAAAGTGCCCTATTCTGGGATAATATAATGCCACAAAGGACTCTTATGACATGGACACTTCGAAGATCTGGGCACTGAAACTAAAGCAAATAGTGGAAGCAAATACTGGAAGAAGGATCAGTATACTGTAATAGAAACATTTTTAGAGAAATAAAGCAGAAAAGATAGAAATTACAACATATTTCCATAGTTATACCAACTGTGCTCCTTCCAAATCTTTTTCCACCTTTTGCCACCCTAGAGACAGCAAGGTGAACCCCCTCTTCCTCCAAACCCTTTTCTTCCTGCTCCTTCTCCTCAGCCTACTCAATGTGAAGATGATGAGGATAAAGACCTTTATGATGATCCACTTCCAATGACGTAG